CCCCCCCCCCGGCTCCTCAGGCCATTCAAGCACAGGCACCAGTGCCTGCACTGCTTCTGCTGCCCCTTTCCCCCACTGGAGGGGCGGGCAACCCTCCCTCCCCCCACCCTGTCACAGCTGCAGCCCCCACTTCTCCCACCCTGATCAAATCTCCGGGATTTTGCTCTTTTCCAGAAGTGGGAGAGAAGGAAGCAATCGGGGGTAGCAGGGAACACCACATGGCTGTAGGCTGGTCCGTGTGTGCTCCCTGCTGCCTCCCATTGTCCTCTCCCTGCTCCCACCCCTGGAGCAAAGGGAAATCCTGGATATTTGGGCAGATGTAAAAAAACCTGCCTCAACAGTGATCAGAGGGCTTAAAAAGAGCTTGGACACTGTTAAAAAGAGCCACTGTGGAGGCTGCAGGAGGAGGTGGGGCTGGTGGGGGGAGGCAGGCCCAGCTTTCCCTCAGCTGGCCCCATGGCTTGTAAAGTGCTTGTGGCAATTTTGTTTGGTTTTTTTTGCCTCTGTGGTGGTGGTGCAGGGGGAGTCCCCACATTGGAGGCTGCAGGAGGAGGTGGTGCCAGCGGAGGGGCTCCAGTTTTATCTCAGCTAGCTCTGCCGGCCTGCCTGGCTCTCACAGCCAATCCAAGCATGTGCAGTTGGGCAAAAACATTACGGACAGACACACTAAGTCTTTTTCTTATATTAGAATAATATAAGAATATTGATTAAGCATGAAGAGATGACATTAGGAAAGCTAAAGCACAACTGGAGCTGCAGAGCATGGGAGGTGAAGGGTAACTTTGAGGATTTCTACAAGTATGTCAGCAACAAGAGGAAGACTGGGAAAAATGTTGGTTTCTTACTAAATTGAGGAGGAGCCCAGTGAAAGATGATGTGGAAAAGACTGAAATACTCAATGCCATTTTTCCCCTCAGTCTTCACAGGCAAGGTCAGCTGCCAGACTTCTGCACCTGGCAGCACAGTTTGGGGAAGAGGTGAGCAGCCAACAGTGGCAAAAGAACATGTTAGGGACTATTTAGAAAAGGTGGATGTGTACAAGTCCATGGGGGCCTGATTTGATACAACCAAAAGTGCTGAGAGAGTTGGCTGATGTGATTTTAGAGCTGTTGGCCATTATCTTTGAAAACTCACGGCAATTGGGAGACATCCAGGATGACTGGAGAAGGGCAAATATAGTGACCATCGTTAACAAAAGCAAGAAGGAAAATCTGGGGAACTACAGACTGGTTCACATCACCTCAGTCTCTGGAAAAATCATGGAGTAGGTCCTCAAGGAACCCATTTCTAAGCACTTGGAGGAGAAAGTGATTAGGAATAGTCAGCATGGATTCACCAGGGGCAAGTCATTCCTGACCAATCTGGTTGCCTTTTATGATGAGAAGACTGACTGGCTCTATGGATGGGGGAAAAATAGTGGATGTGATATACCTTGACTTTAACCAGGGTTTTGATACAATCTCTCACAACATTCTCGCAAGCAAGCTAAAGAAGTACAGGCTATATGAATGTAAAGGGGATAGAAAACTGGCTCGATCATCAGGCTCAATGGGTAGTAAATCAATGGCTTGATAGCTACTTGGAAGCCAGTATCAAGTTCAGTGCCCCATGATGGCTAGAAAATGATATTTAGAGGTTTGCTTTTAGGAATTGCCTTGTAGCTAAAGTAGATATACATTAGAAAAATGATCCAGAGAAATAGCAAGTGTTAACTGGTTTCTAAAAGCCTGTTTGTGACAAAATTTCCTTCCAGGCCCACTGTGTTTGAAACCAGCAGACACACAGGCTGGGAAATTGAAGACATGTACCAGACTGTTCCATAAGATGAGAAGGTGGCATTAGGTTACAGTGCCCAACTGCAGAACCCTTTGGATTTCTGGCTTTGGTGGACAGATTAAATTAGGAGGCTCAGTAAGTAAATAACCAAATAAAGATGTGCATGTGATGGGTTTATTGGAACAAAGGAATATGCTGAGAGGGCAGAACATGTACAGCATGATGACCACAGGGAAACCAATCAATAATGCTCAGGAATTAAGTGTCATCATAGGGAACAAAGAATACAAAAGGAGGGATTTCAGAGTAGCAAAGGGTCCCTGAGAGAAGAATCCAAGGTAACCATGGACAGAGGGCATACCACCAGCCCATCTCACCCCACCCCACTGGAGAGGGGACAGGGGCTCAGTCCTTGACCTCCAGCTGCTGACATCTGACACTCAAGAAAGAACCACAGGCTGAAGCTCACATATTGGCCTGATGCACCTTCCCTCTGTGACAGCCCTAGGGCAGCCTCTGTCCCCTTGCCACTTAACATCAGTTGCAGCTCCAGCTCAATTGTAGCCTGGGGCATAGGTGAGGTCCATGGCCAAAACTACTATGTGCTTTGTGCCCCAGGCTGTAATAGGGCCAGAAAAGGGAATAGATAGCTTTGATAGGCGGTACGTAGAGGTGGGGGCAGAGGCTGTGGAGGGCAGGCAGAGGGGTGGCAGTGGCAGTGGCTGCGACTCTAACTCCAACCCCGAGCCTGGACGGTGGCCAAAGTCATAGCCATAGCAGCCACCTGCTGCCTCCTTTGCCTTGTAGGCCAATCTAAGGTGAGGGGCCTTTTCTCTCATGTTGAATGGGGAAGAAAATCTTGTCTTGGATTTGAGTTAATGTGGCAGTTCAATTTATGGAGGATAGTCCCATTGGGACCTATTAAGCAACACAGTCAGGTATGTAACTAAATAGTGGTCACTGGAAGGGGATAATGGAGGATGGATCATTATAGCTGCCCTGTCTCTTGTACTCTGTTATTTGTAACTGTTGGAGACAGTACTACAATTACTATGCTCTTATGGGAGAGAGGAGGAAAACTGCTAGGTGAGAATTATGGAAAGAAATTAGGAGAGCCTTGGCCAAGAGACTGGCCAAGAGGAAGTGAAAACAGTTTGGCATGAAGACTGAGGATGTGGGAGATGATTGGGACTGGGAGGCCAAGGAGTGACTGGGATTGCTAGACTGGGATTAAGACAAGGAGCCAGGTGTGGAGAAGTTAGTTGGCAGGGCCAGAGCCAGGTTGAAGGGAAAGAAAAGAAATGGATGGAGGAGTATGTGCCCATGAGATAGGTCGCAAGATTCCCGAGTTTCTCTACTGTTTCTTTACTGTCAGCAAATGTCTGTGAAACGCACTGGAAAAGAGTTTTTCTACATCTTTGGTACTGTTCCCTGTGTGGAGATGGGCTACCAGCAGGTGTGGAACTGCACTGGGCAATAAGAGAAACCATCATCTTTAACGCCTCCACCTCATGCATTGCAGAAACTGGATTCATAGGGAATGAGGCAGGGAACTGTGAAAAGAGAAAGGATCTTCTGATAGCTAAGGCAGCTGAATGCTGCTATTGACAATTAGACTCACCTTGATTTCCCCACAGAATTCTTATTTGATGCTGGGTAAGTCCCTTAACGAGCAGGAGATCATTAATTGCATGTACTTCATTTTCTGGGTACCTGAGTTGAGATCCTGCGTTCTGATTTGCTGAAGTGCTGAGCACTTACAGCTGCAAGTGAAGGCAGACAGCTGGGCTTTGGACAGCTGCGCAGTATGAAAAGCTCAGGTCCTGAGTGTCACGAATTGGCAGCCTCAGCTTCACAGAAGCTGTTCACCTTCATCTTTCCATGCCCCAGGCCCCCAGCCATAAACACACACCTTCTCACCTCACAACTGTGTTGCGTAAATGAATCAACTAATGTTTGTGAAACACGTTGAAGTTGTAGTGATGGAAAGCCCATGAGGAAAAGATTAATTCTGCCTTCGGAGCAGGGTTGGAATAACAAATAAGGCAGGGGGACACACCAGGAACAATGAGGATAAAGAACAAACTATTGAATAGCTGCTTATTAAGTGAGCACCATCTATTGCATGTCTTGAATAAGGGAGGAGTCAGATGGAAAAAAATAGCATGGGATCTTATAATGAGAGCCACAATGCATAAATCCAAAAGTGAAGAGAGAACGCAGGTTGCTCGGACAACCTTCATTCTGGCATTCCCTAACATTTGAGTGCTTGACTCTGCAACCTTTAAAAGATTATTTTAACATAGTTTGCGCGTGTGTGTTGCCCACAATCTTTTGTTATTAGGCCACTCAGCTGTACGCTGTCATGATCTGACTAGTGTGGAATGCAAAATTATGTGTGCGTATATGTGTACGTACAACGCCCCAAAATGGAAAACAGCAGTATGTGCCTCCAAGTCCAGTCAGTGCGTTTCTAAGGAGAAGGCTCTGAATTCAATTACTGAGCTGCTCTGCAAGCTTCAAGTGACTAAGATCCCAGCCAAGGCTTTGTCTAGCCAGGTTTTAAAAACCTCCAAGGATGGAGAGTCCACCACCTCCCTGGGTAGCCTGTTTCAGTGCTTTACTACCCTCCTTGTCAGAAAGTTTTTCCTAACATGTAACTTAAACTTCCCTTGCTGCAACTTGAGACCATTGCTCCTTGTTCTGTCATCTGCCACCACTGAGAGCAGTCAAAATTCATCC